GATTGGTCCCTTTCTGCCTGGCTTACCTCACTTCATGTGCACCAGATCTACTACGTGCATTTTATCCCTCAATGCTGCTAGCCATACACTCTATGCAAAAGAGTCTGCGCTTTGATATTTCCTGCAAGTTCTCGTTAGCCGTCCACATTTAACCTCCTACACGAAGCGCTTTGTTGTCCTGAAAGGGGTTTTTATTGCAGGCTCATTTACAACATCACCGTCACCACTCACACCAGTATGTAGTGCCATTTATTTTCTCTTTTATGTACATATAAAAAGCGATCGCCACTGAAATCTCAAGCAAACAAGCGACTTTCAAGTTCAAGAGTGCTCTGACTTCTAAAAGCTTCTGATCAAAGGGTTCAATGGCTCGTTTAGCTCACTTGTCAGTTTTTACTGAGTGGTGCCATTTTCCACCAGCCTTCATTTAAAAAGGGTCCTTTCTTTCGTTACTTGGTTACATATGGTAAAGATTGCATTTTATGTTTGCTGCCCTCGTTTAACTTCAAGTGGAAACCTTATTTCAGCTCCGGCATACAAGTTTTATCTTCCACCTCGCTAATGTATCACCTGCTCGAGGATTTCAGGCTAAAAGTTTTGTAGTGTTCACGGGGAAAGATAAATTGAATTTCCTGAGTGCTGTGATAGCTGCGCGTTGTTCGGGCTTCTCTTACTCTAATGATGCTTCTTTTTCCTCCACAGCCGTGGCGCTGAAGATTTGCATATCTTCATAATACTGCAGAAGCAGTGCATTTCCTTCTCGTCATCCCTCAGCCTGCATGCTATAGCTGTCTATAGTGTTTCCCAAAAAAGGAGCACATATCCCATGAAGTGGAAAGCAGAAGTCAGCTGTCCATTACTGAGAGCAGTAGCATGGCCTCTTTGGACTGCGTTTTAGTTGGAAGCTTTTTACTCCCTTAGCTCTCATGACTGACACAGCTCATAAAGCACACCCCCCCACACCCTCCGACCTTCAGAGAGAATACAGGACCCCACATCAGCTGCTGGCTTTCACAGATCCACCTGAGTCTCCAACCTCTTCCGCAGTTCAAAACAGCCATCAGAGAGCCACTTAGCTCTGCAGCTACCACAAGCCGTAGCTGGACACTAGTTCAGCTCTCCTTATTTAAGATCTATCACTCCCTTCGCTGATGTCATAGCATCTAATGGACTCTGCTTTATTGACTTCTCTGTGAATATACAGTAGCAGAGTACATGGCATCTATTTTCAAACCGCTATGAATAGAGATAATCATCATTCAGGATATGGGTGCGTTTCACTGACCCTCTCATGCTCAGAGGGGCATGTTTGCTCTTCTTTACCATTAGTAGCCCGTCTGTTGATAAAGACAGATGGATGGATAAAGACTATTATGCTGATTATATCTACTGTATCTGTACAATCAGTGCATGTTCAGTCGAGCTGGATTGTGCCTTTTTTTTCCAGTCTGGGTCAGTCTCTGTAATCAGGAGATAAACTCAGGTAGTGTCTAATGTTTGAGATGTTTAGGATTCTTATCTTGCAGGCAATACAGGTGTAAAAGCAGGTTTCCATCAGCCACACAGAGCAAAGTTCAGTTCCCGCTGGCGCCGGTTAAGACACGTATTCTTTCTGTCGCTATAGTCTGAAAATCCACAGAAACATCTGCAAGCAGCTCACGACACAGAGCTGCTGAAGGAGTTGCGTGGTTGAGGCTTTTTGTGCGTTTATTGTTTTCTCAGTTTACAGCTGATCTAAGAGTGGTAAGAACTTGACAAGAAATGCAAAAAACATTATTATTGCTACATAATGAAATTAAATGTGGCGCTGTATGAAATAGGTTCATTGTGTTAAAAGTCAAGGATGCCGACATTTTGTTTAGAAAGCACTGAATGTAAGCCAAATCTTGTTTCTAGGAAAGCTCCACAGAGTACACAAATCATTAGCTGGTCACAATGGTGCAGGGACATATTTAAAAGTGGATCGACAGACAAACCGGTAAACAAGCATTTAAACTGTAATAAATGATATAATTTACTGGCTCCTGTTGAGAGTCTAAGGTGGCTAACACAAACCAGCTATTGGCAGGTAAAAAGAAGGACCTGGCAACACTATTCCTCATTTTAGGTTGTTTGCTTAGCTGAAATGAGGACAGTCAGCAGGAACATTGATAAAGGAAAAATAAAAGGATGACATTACTTGTTATTTATTTATTTATTTTTATAAGGGATGCACAGTCTGTGTTGCCTATATTTCCCCATCCAGGGTTCAAGGTTTTTTTTTCTAATGCGCAAACTAAATGATTCTTTTGCACCACAAAATAAAATGTTATAAGACAAAATAACCATCCTTTGTCCCACAAAGACTCCGTGTGTGGCAATGCTTGTGTGGTTGAGTTTGCTCTCTCTTTTCTGAAGTGGCCTCGGGTGTCTCAGTGACTTGAAAACAGCGGTTCAGGTTGAGGGAAAGCGCGAATAAAATGGAGATCCCATTCAGACTTTCCCTATGAAATATCACCTGCCACTATTATTCCTTTCTAGTCACATCAGTTCCCCGAGGAGATGGCAAGGTGGACAATAAGGCAAAAGATGTGACAGAGAAGGGAGATGAAAAGTAAGGATGCAGTGATGGTAAATTATGGGCTGATGCCAAGGTTTAAAATACTTTTTGGCTCTTTATTTTGGCTCTTTTATGTCAGGGTCACAAAGACATCTTTGTTATAAAGAAGTAATTCGACTGTTTTGAAGTCGTTTAACTCTTCTGTGAAAGGAGTTGATGTGTGGAGTGCTGAAGGATGGACCCAAATGCAGGACGTGGGATGTAAATAACAATAAAAAACCTTTTATTGAAGCCAAAGGTGCACAAGTTCACAGAGGAAGGCATAACAGACACTTTAACAGCAGACAAAGAGAAGACGGGACTATTGCCACATTCCAGATACCTCGGAACTCACTCCTGGGCCGGTGCGTTCCAGAAAAGCGTGTCGTCTCCCAGGATTGAAGCTGTGATTTTTTTTGCTTGTTAGGCAAATGTGTAAAGCACTACACTACAAAAAAAACTACCTGCTATACCACCATGCAGAAAGGCAAGTTTAAATTGCCTTTGAAAAGCCATCGCCACGTCCAAAGGTCTCAGTGAGAGAGCTTTCCAGTGTTGCAAACTCTCTGTCTAGTTTTGAGCCTGATCACATGACCTCAGAGACCTCCTGGCGATGCATGGATGTAAAGTTCTTGTGCTTGTCCATGCAAAACTCTAAAAGAAAAAAAAAGTCTGGAGTTGATGGAGAGTCTCTGCAGCTGAATTAGCAGCGCTGTGTCATGCGAGTACCTAGAAGGCAACCCGCAGATGCTCCAAGGAAGTTTTGTTAAGATGAGTAAACAACGAATTACAATAATCCAGACGTGACGAGATAGAGGGATGAATAACAATCTCCAACTCAGAGCGTGACACAAACAGGGACCAGATATCACAGTGCAACGATAAAACTAATCAAGCAAGAAGCAAGGCTGAAAATTGCTAGAATAGTAATGAAATCAGAGTATAGTGAAATCAGAGGATAACTTTAATCCAAAACGTCAAACTCTAATACAATGCCTAAGATTTTAATCGCCTAAATCAACGAAAAGCTACCATGACATCTTCATCCCACTGTCTTTAATCGTTAGGCCGGCACAAAAATTAATGCAACACCACTGCCATTACTTAATGCCATCTCATTTGCCTGTAGGCCTACGGCCAGTACCGGCCCCACGTCTGGCCAGTATATTGGTGTATCCTTAATGGAAAGGGCAGTTATGACAAGCAAAGGAAGGAAAGAAGACAGCAGCTGGGAGGAAGGCAAACCCAGTAACTGAAAGCCAAAGCCAGCCTGTTTGTCATTGTTTATCACTTGTGGGTGTGAAAATGTATCCTGACATCCATTTATCGCTGTATGTTTTAGAATCAGTTAGAAAGAAATCCTGAATTTGAATACATAGCCATCTTTCCTGCTGCGCAGATAAGAAAAGCTCAGTGAGGCCGTCTGTCCTCGTGCTGCAAAGTGAAGCCCATCCAGTTGTTTTAAATGTGAGAGAATGTGGAATTGAAAACTCAAGAGCGCTGATGTGTGAATCTATTCTGACTCAGTCACACACTGAGACACATGTGAGCAGCAATAGATGATGTTTTTTTATGACTCTCTTCCAGAGCCACCTCTCTCGCTGGGCATCTACCGATACCCATAAATCATGAGCTCTCTTGTATTGTCAGCCTCTCCTCTCCTCCTCCTCTCTCCCCCTCCTCCCTCCACTTTCAGACTGTCACTTAACAAGCTGTGACACAGTGACAGTGATGTGTGTGCATCTGAGTGATGCCTGGCTCCACTCCTTATTGGAAAGGTATTGAAACGCTCCGGCATGAAAGGGCTGGTGATGAGATTGTATTTCTTAGGTTTTTATGAGAATGTAAAAAAAAAAAGAAAAAAAGGGAGCTCTGCTCGGCTATTCAATTAAACGTGGTGAGAGAAATCCCTGCTTTCTTTTGGGTTGCACCCTTTGACAACATGATGTACAATGTCCTCCATGTTTCTTTTTTACACATATTGAAGAAAATATCTGTGTGTGTACCAAAAAGCATCACTCACATTTAAAAAAAAATCTCTTTCCACCCCCCTGTATGTGTGTGTGTTTGTGCACAGGCTCAGTGTCCCTCAGTGTGTTCCTGGTCTCCCTTGCAGTGACAGTGTGTGCTGTTTGGCTGGTGGCTCTTTGTGGCGTCTGTGGTTGGTGTGCGCAAGCTGGTGAGTTTACACACACACACACACACACACACACACACACACACACACACACACACACACACACACACACACACACACACACACACACACACACACACACAGACACACAATACAGACTCACAACAGATACACTGTAGCTTCCAGTCACATTTGTTGCCACCCCATTATCCTTCAGTAATCAGAGAGCCTTAAATAAACAGTGTGGGTTTGCTACAAAAAAAGAAATTTCAGAGCATCATCAAAAAAGAAAGTCTGTGCAAATATTTTGTGCAGTTGAGAAATTTCGAACGCAACAATTTATGTGGACGGATTAATTACAGCATTGCAAGTAGTAGTCTTGTTATTAACAGCTAGCGCTACTTGACTGTTATTGTTGACTTTACTTCTAGCAAGTTGAATTTTCTTGTTAATTACTTATTATTATCATTAATTGTCTAATTACAATATTCCTGTGAGGTTAGCAAGATAGCGAATCAAGCATAAGTTCCCTGATTTAGAAGTGACAGGAAACACAAATCCAACTTTTCCAGTACACGCACTAGTATTCAGCCCTTGCTGATCATAAGCCTGGATAAATGGGAGGATTGCATCTGGCATTGAAATCTGTGCCAAGGTATATATGTGGATTGATTTACTGTGGGAAATAACAGAGGAAATGAAAGTTGTAAATGCAAATTTTACATTACTAACTGGAACTGGAATTTTTTTTAAATTCAACAAACATTTCTAACTTGTTTTGATGGTAGAAATATATGCTGCTGAAGCTATAATTTTACTGTTCACCTCACAGGAATATAGTAATTAGCTTAACAACAAATTTGAGTTGTCAAAACTCTTGGAAACAAGTTTTGAAAACTCATTTTGCCTCATTATTTTGAGTTTTCTCAGCACTAACCAAAACGGGATTATTAATAATGATTTTACAGTGTTTTGTATTAACTGCTAATCATTAATTAGTGTGTAAGTAGTTGAATCACTGTATCTGGATTAGAATTAATTTTATCTAAATTTTTAAACAGCTATTCATCGATTCTTCTAGAAGTTTATCAGAAGAGGATGACAGGATCATAAGATGGTTTCTAACTGAACAATAAAAAATAAGACATTCATATATTTGCAGTGAATGGACTTTGAACTGACTCTTTGTTGTCCTGTGAATAATACAGCTTTTTAAAAACTCAAACAATTATGCAATAGAAAGTACTCTGTAAAAGGTTTAGAAAGAAACGATGTATCCAATGGGACCAACTTAAAGACATTTGCAAAATGACAAGGCCCTTTCTCAGTCTAAGGAGTCCCTGTAAAAAGCAGCATTATAGTGATTTCCAAATGGGTTATGAGATTCATAGAAACATTATCATGTGTTTGCCACAAAAATACATTTAACTCAACAATTGAGTGGAACTAAACAGCTTTGAGAAGAATGGGTATAAGCTAACAAAAAGGATAACAATAAAGAAAACATAAAGGAACAGATAAATGATTTAGGAATGACCATAGCTAGCTTAAACTGTGGCTGTGAGTTAAGGCATTAGCTAACAGTACAGCTAAAACAATGAAACTGTGAGCTAAAACTAATGGATAAACCATTCAGATAGTTTGCTAAATATTATGATCACTTGTTAATGGAGTATTAGTTGTATTTATAGTTAAATGGCTAAGACAGTTCGCTTACAATCCGATCAATATTGTCGCTAAAAGCAAACAGCTGAAAGTAATCCACATCCACTTTAACATGAATTCTAATGAGGTGCTGTTGATGAAAGGGTTGTTGAGTCCATCTGACAGCCTGTATGAGTACATTAGATGAAATAGGCTGATAAACACTGTAGTAGGGTACTAATTAACCTCCTAAATATGACCATCTCAGCATTTCTAAAGAGTGCTGATACAGCGTCAGCACCAGTCCACTCGATGGGAAGAACCAGATCAAAAAGACTGACCTCTGACAGGGGGCATGTCATCGTGATTATGTGGTATGAAATGTGATTGATTAAAGGGAGGCAACCACTCTTTAGACAGACCGAGCGGTATGGGCTGGTGGCACTTTGGCTGACTGATTCTTTTTTTTATTTTTTTATATTCACATGCCTCTAAAGTTAATTGGTTTCAGGTTCATCCTGTGCTTGTACAACCGAGGAACACGGGTCACCTATTTCACATTTATTGTTGGCTCCAACTCCTATTTATTTGAGCTCACCATCACGCTGCTGTTAAACTTACTGGTCCACAGATGGCAGAATTTGGCACTGCAACAGGCTCCACACACCACATGTCTCACTACATAATATCATTTGTATCGCCAGCAAGGTGACTGTATCTAGATTACTTCTTGATGCCATTACAACATATAGGGAGGAAATGATCTGTGCTGAAATGCAACAGAGGTACAACACAGGCTTTCTATTGTTTGCTTCAGTGGAACATCACATTATATTTGATATTCCACTTTAAAGTAAATGGAGCAGTGAATGACTCCCAGTTTTCTGCTGTGGATGGAGGTAGTTCTGCTGCCACTACCTTGGAAAGTCCCTTAGGTCCTCTCCAGAGCACTGCTGTAAATGGATCTTATTTCCATCCTGTGATAGTGCTGTGCAGCAGCCACAGAGGAGCAGGGGGCTGGGATAGGGGGCCGATCTTTAGGCCTTATGACCCTGCGTGGGCAACTGTCCTCACACCACAGTTATTATAGTTGTTTTTTTTTTATAGTTTTTATTTGTATTGTTTTCAGGAGCTTATTTCTAGCACTATGTTGGATATGTTATCATCTATAAAACAGAAAGCTTTTTTCTTCTTCTTGCAAATGTCATGCTTTCTAACAATAGCAAGAATAAAGAAGAAGGCAGCCAATATCACTGATTTATTTTAATTGGACCTGGCTTTGATTTAATTAAAAAATGGGGTAATTTTACATTACAATCAGGCTTTTAAGCTAATATTTGATTTGTGAAAAGAAGGCTAAGAGGAATACACTCACCTCCCCTTTTTTAGGTTTACCTGTTCACATCCTTGCTAATGCCAGTGGCATGGCATCAACTCAGTGCATTTATACATTTAGACAAGGTCAAGATGGGCTGGTCTGAGTATTTCAGAAAATGATGACCTGCTGGGATTTTCCCACACCAACATCTCTACAGAGAAAATGTTCAGTGAGCGGCAGATCTCTGACTGCTCCAAGCTGAAAGGAAGCTAACAGGAACTCAACTCTCTTGTTATAAAGGTTTGCAGAAGAGCATCTCTGAAATCATAGCACGTCAAGTCATGAAGCAGATTGGCTACAGCCACAGCAGACCACACTGGGCACCAATGACTACAATTCATACAGGTGCAAAAAAACAAAATATTGAATATTGAAAAGAAAAATGTCCTGATATGATGAGTCTTAATTGGTCCTTTAACATTCAGATGGTAGGGTCAGAATTAGGCAAAAACAGCATGAAAGCATGGATCCATCCTGCCTTATAGAAACTGTGCAGGCTGGTCATTGTCTAATGGTGTGCAATATAGTTTTCATATTTTCATGGCTCACTCTGGGTCCCTGAGTGGAAACTACCAGAGTACTGTTGCTGACCATGCCAAGACCGTGTACCCATCTTTTTAAAATAACACACCATGTCACAAGGCTCAGATAATCTCAAGCTAGTTTCCTGAACATAGCAGTACTCTAATGGCCTGCAGTCACCAGATCTCAATCCAGTAAAGCACCTTTGAGGACTGTTTCCAGCCCCTTGTTTAATCTATGCAATGAAGAATTAAGATAGTTCTGAAGGAAAACAAATGAGTACCTAATCGTGTCTGGTAAGCCTACATCTTCAACCAAATTCAAGATCTCAGTCATTACGTTAAACCCTCCATTATGTTTTGTCATAATGCCAATAAATATGGAGCCAAATCCAGGATTCAGGGACAAGAAACAACTGAACAGTATATTTGGACAGGAAAGTTGCCTCCTTACAGGAGCTTGGAGGGGAGAGTATGGGGTGGAAAATGGGCAGGCAGATTAGAAACTGGAAAGCATTTTTCCCTCAGCAGGAGGAAACCAGCATGAGAGCGCAGGTGAACCGAGTTTGAAGGAGTGGTCCAGAAACTTTCCACAGGGCAAGGAAATTCAGAGACGTGTTTCCAGCTGTCTTTGCACCAGGCCACTCACCAGAGAAACAGAACAGAAAGCAAGGTTAGGAATTTCATGGAGAACGGAACCGTGAGAAACCACTACGAACCCTGATTACCACCAACGAAGAGGCAACAAGTCCGCTTGAGCCGGTCTTTAATACTGCATCCTTGATGAGCTGATGAGAAACAGGTGCACAAGCTCCAGAAAACTAGAAAGACCAGCCTACTGCTCCACCTGAGAGGTGCCAGGAAACCAGGTCTGACATGAGGGTATTTGGCAAGAGGGAAATAGGTATTATAATTCTGTGCCATTAATTTATGAAGGCTAAAAAAAAACTTCCCAGGCTCATATAAACAACAAGTCTAAATTGACAAACCTAAAAAACTGTGCCTCAGGCACAGGATGACCATCTCATTGAAGATACCAATTTGCGTACTTATGTTTTTTTCTTATCTGTGCATCTTACACTGTTTACATCAGAGCGTGTGCTTTTGTGCGTGTGTGTGCTGTGGCGGGGGGTTATACAGAGTGGCATTAAGATGTTAATTAAGGCCTTTGTAATCTTTGGACCACTTATTTTGAGAAAAATGTCAGCCGCCCACTGGTGTGAAACCACATTAAATGCAGACGGTTGATGTACAAAATAATTAAGTGTGACTGAGATGAATGGCGGTCATTTGCATTGATGAGAAACTTGTTATTGGTAAAACAGCGCACTTTGACGAAGCACAAAAACTGCTAATCTTGTTCAAAATCATTTTCCCACGTTAATCTTATCGTCTTCAAAATGCCTATGTTGTATATGGGGCTAACAACAATGAAGGCTTGGCAGCTATATAATCTGTTCTTCTAACATAAATTGCGCTACAAAAGGTTTCCGCATCCA